GAAGGTGGTCACACAATGATGGTTTTTGTTCTTTGGTGTCTGCTGCCTGTTTCCTTCAACACTTCGTGTTCGCACAGACTCGTGTGCTTCTTCTCTGTGGACTTTGTTGTTTCTGAGCTAGATGGCCGCTTGTTTGCCTACAATCATTTTTTATATATGAATGGAAATAGGTATAAAATGACCTAACAACATAGCACTGAAGGTCAAGATATAAATATATTTTGTTGATAGAAACCTGCATTATTTTATTTTCCTTGACTGTCATGTCACTACATGTTCTACATCATCTTCAGTAGTTTACTGTAGTTTAAAAGCAATCAGGATTAAAAAGTGATCTAAGTTTTAAAAACTCTGCTTCTCTATTCAGAATTCAAAGATGCTTTCTATATGACAAATGCTCAACTCACAAATGAGATGGAAGACATTTGAATAGTAATTCAGTCAGTTTCTCATTTATTCATTTTCCATACAAACAAACCTAGTCACATGTACTCAGGTATGTTTGAATAAAACTATGACTAATGTAAATTAAACATTTGAACAAATTAACATCATTATGCAAATGTATAGTAAATTTACCCAAGTGCATATTATACTGTGTCCCATTTGATAATTAAGAATTTAGAAAATACAAACATTTACCAGTGATTTCTGTGGTGAATTAATTAGCCAGTTTCATTTAATTGTCAGGGTAAAGATACAAATTTTGAGGAGTCCACCAAAATGACACTCAAATAGATGAAGTAAAATCATTAAGAGTTATATTGCACCAAAATCTAGCTGCCTACGAATATTATTCCTTAGTGTTTTTCATCATTCATGAAAAATAATTAGAATCAAAATAAATTAGAATTTAATGAATTGAGGTCTTCTAATTCTGTATGCAACACAGAGCATACATTTTAGAAGAAAGGAAAAAGTTGGCATAGAGATACATGGAATCTAATCAAATTCATTCCGGAGAATATACAATGAAAAGAATACAAATTCTTTTAATTTAATAAAAGCAACATTGAGTTCCCATTAAAAAATCTACTGCCACTAAGTAGATTTCAATTGCTGATAGCAACCGTATAGAACAGAATAGAACTGCCCCATAGGGGTTTCAACGCTGTAAATCATTACAGAAACAGAGTGCCACATCCTGTTGAGTGGCTAGTGTGTTTGAAGCAACAAACGTTTGCTTAGCAGCCAAGCACGTTATTCACTGCACCAGCAGAGATCCTTTTTGATGTCCATTGCAAGAGCATTAAAACAGAAATGGCTACTTGAGCTGCCTTTGAGAGACAGAGGGGAAATCATACACCAGTCTTAATGTATTGTCAGACCTCAAGAAGTTTCATTGTTCCTAATCTTACTTCCAAAAATGATAACTGTTTCTCTAAAGAGTGGACATCTGGTTTTTGTAGTGTGCTGAGCAATATAGTAATAATGTCATCTTCTGGGGTCTGATACCTCTGTATTTCCTCCTCTATAAAGATATTCATTCAATCCCTAGATTTGGTGCTCTAAAATAAAACCTGAATATACCATCATCCCTGCCTTAGACTAACTGCATTGAGGTGGGAAGCTAGTGTAGGCATGGTATACTGGCAGTAGGTGCAAGATGGCAATAAGAGTCATGGGATGCATGCCTATCTCTACCTGCAGGTGTGAATGGAAACTTTACAGGAAGTGGTACTGAGTTGAGCTTATTCGGTTGACAACGTTTGAGCAGGAAAATGAAGAAG